TGGAGACGATCCTGTGAAGAGGAAATGAAGAAGTGCAACCTGTCGTGGGGTGAAGTGAAAAAGGCTGCCCAGAATAGACTGCGTTGGAGAGCTGTTGTTGAGGCCCTTTGTTCCACAGGGAATTTAAGGAGATAAGAAACATGCATTTTGCTCAAATGGCCTGAGAATATCATGCCTAATAATCACTCAGTACAGAGATCCAAAGCACCTTACCTTGGTCTGTTTGGAAAGGGGACGACGGGCTGTTTCTGAGGGTCACCTTTATTTAGATGATCTACCAACAGATCTAAGAACTTCACTACTAAAGGGTTAGTGCCCCCACAAATTTAGAAATGACTGTATGTGGTGTATAGCACAATAAGATACTGGTGACGGGTCAGTAGATACAGTAGGTGTATATTCTGTATTTTAGACTGGAAATCCTGGGGGATCCCAGTGAATGTTCAGGTAAATGTCAAGTTAGGTCTTGACTGTTTGGTCTTTATTGCATAATATCTCTTCTGCATTGCATGACAGTTAATCTAGCACGAATCCCATAAAACCTGAGAAGGGCTGTTATATATAGTGTTTGAAAACCAGTTTAGCAGCTTCAGGCATAGAAACAATAACAGTATGACAAAATAAACCAGGAATGTACTGTATACATACAAAGGGGGCACAGTGTCAGAGTTTGGTACAGGCACTTTAGGGAAAATCACACCCAGGACAAATGGGCAGACAATAAACAAGCCAGAGGTCAGACATAAAAAAAACAGAGAAAAAGTCAACAAGTAATAAGAAATCTAATCTCAGCTGGAGTTGTGCGTGTGGTATTCCTCATGCTCTGCTTGTTTTTCATCATGCAGTCTCAACACTTTTTCCTCACACAGTGGCTGATACTGAGCGCTTTATTTTTTCAGCGCGTGCCCCCCTCCTGCGTTTGTTATTGCAAAACAGGAGGATATGCAGGATAGGGGAAGATGCTAGGCCCAGAGAATGTGAACATTTTCTGTGTAATAATTTGAAATCCTGTTGGGTCTGGGGGTCTGCATGGTGGCTGTAGGGAGGGGTGGCATTGCAAAGTGCCAGATCACCATGTCTGCTCACAGTATGTGAAAGGTTAACATGATTTCTGAAACTTTTTGGCAAACGGGTCAGGTCTGCAGTCTGGTCAGGATGTGCTCACTAACTGTGACTGTTGGTCGTGCACACCACACAAAAAAGCCACCTACACACCTGTCCAGAGGAATGTTTTATCGGTACTGAATGTGGGATGGGGGAGCTACCACTAATGGCATTCACTCACATACCACTGATGCCAGCAGAGGCTGTGGCTTTAGAGTCCTCCAAATGTTTTGGAACAGGCAGCAAACAAGCATTTTCTGTCTCTCTGGTGAAAACGTAGATGTTCCTCTTATCTGTAATATAAACAGCTATTTCTATTTCCTCAAGCGAAGAAAATCTCACTTCAAAGCTACAAACCATCTGCAGCTCACTCTACTTTCCTGTCTTGTGGCCAAATGTCCACATAAAAACAAACACTTCTTCTTTTATTCAGAACACGATGAGCTTTAACAGTCCTCAATAAATAATTGTAATGTATTAAGAGAATTAAAAGTTTGTGCAGCTCACGCTTTGACTGGATGTAGCGGTCCTTCATGTCAGGGCTCTCAGTTTACATTATTCATACGGAGAGGGTGTGACTTGTTGGCTCTTTTTCCGCCTGTATAAAACGTCAAGTTCGCGTAAAAGAAAGTACTGATGGAGAAGGCTAGCCGGCTCGCTGTGTCACAGAGAGTCCCCTTAAGCCTACGTGACAGCTCACATACTGTCCCTTTGTGACCAGCTTAATCGGCAGAATGCCTGGTCTCTGTGTGCTTCGTCTTGCCGTCGCGCTAGCTGCGTTCACCCGGCTTGCCGGCACCGTAGGGCCGGTGGTCCGATGCGAGCCGTGCGACGCAGTGGCGCACTTGCAGTGCAAGCCCCCGCCAAAGGACTGCGTGGAGCAGGTGAGGGAGCCCGGTTGCGGCTGCTGCATGACGTGCGCTCTCGGCGAGGGACAGGCGTGTGGAGTGTACACGGCGCGCTGCGGCTCCGGTTTGACCTGCCGGCACCGACCGGGAGAGAGCCGACCCCTGCAAGCTTTGCTGGAGGGCCGGGGAGTGTGCTCCAGCGCCGCGTCCAAAAAACTCAACAGCATTCTCATACCGTCACAGAAGCAAGGTGAGACGCAATGTTTTTATTTGCGCTTTGTAGATGCACTGCAACTGCGTGTGTGCGCGCGCACATGTGGTTGTTATGGTTAAGGGTATGTCCGGGTAATTTTCCTGAAAACTGATGCAAAATTCCCACGAGGATTGAAAAAAACGTGTGCTGATATTTGGTGGCTTTGACAGTCACCCTCCCCAAGAGGAGGTGCACTGTGTTGATCTGGCCTGGGGGGCTCCCTGCTCATGGAAACCCCGTTTAAGTACATTGTAATGACAGCGGGTGAGATAAAGATGCTTAGACTGATCTACTTAAGATATAAAGCGCAAAGAAAAAAGTCTGAGTGCATAACACCAGATGTTGGTCGGAGATTGATGTGGCACCTTTATCTGCGCTTTTTTGTCCATTTTTTTCCATGTGCGCAAAACTGTGGATCCTATAAATACTATAAAAAGTTTGCAGATTGATTTAAGAAAACACAACAGTGGTTGTTCTGTCATTTTTTCTACCACACACACGCTTGTTTTTGTCACTTATGGGGTCCCTACATAGACTTACATTCATTTCCAGGAGACTTACCCTAACCTTAACCAAAATCTCTACTTGCCTAACCTTAACCCTAACACCTAACATCTAGCCAAAGCCTTCACTTGCTTTAACTGTACACTCCATTGTTTTCATAAAATTTGACAAACTATGTTGTGGGTACCAGCCTCTGGTTCCCACAAAGATAGTAACTCATGGATTTTTGGCTACACAAGTATTGAAAAACAAGGCCACATACACACATACACACACACACACACTCATGCACAGCTTGGCTCCCTCTAACCACTAGTTAAGGAGTGCCACATACATACTGTTGGTATACAGTATTTAGCTGAGCACAGACCATGTCTTTGTCTTTTGTAATGTACTTATTATCCTTCAAGTGAAGCTCCTGAATTCTTGTACACAGCATGAAAATATGTGCTGCTTTCCTGGTCTAGCTCACAGGCCAAAACATCTCAGGTGTGTGTCCAAAGGGAGATTTTTTCTCCTAATTCCCTATAAGCATCCAACACAGACAAATACACAATCATGGCCCATTGTCAGTGAGCAAAAACTACAGATTTTCTCAGTTCATACCATTGTAATACTGAGAGATCTAATGCTGTTTTGCATGAATGGATGCGTGCTGCTTACAGTGGTGAAATGGCACACACGCCACCTCCATGTGAACACACACTATTGTGTGTTTAGGCACCGCTGATGTCAGACCCCCAGGAGTCTCTGTGTGTGTGTGTGTGTTTTCTTCTTCCTGGTTATTTGGTTTGGCCACAGTAATGTGTGGTGTGCACTCAGCAGTCACATTGTTTCTTTCTCACACTTACTTATGCACTGACCAGGGTGCACACTTACACAGACCATTGTCAACTTGCCCAGATTCTTTCACTGGCACAATCTTTTTACTTCCTGTCACTTAGCATATATATTTCTTTTTTTTTACTTTAGCCCCTATTCTCCTAGAACAATTACAATTTACAATTTCTCACAATTTGCAGCTTCTATTTAACACAAACATATCCAACTTTGTACACTGATGAGGTCTGTGACACAGCACACAATCGCTTACAGCACAGACAGATTTCATCCAGGATTCCACTCCTGGAGTTTGAAAAAAGATGGGAAATGATTCCAAGCGCCCCTGTTGGTTATAGTGTGTAAGTGCGGTGGCCTCCAAGCTCTCCTCACCACAATTTGTGCTGATTACCCCGTGCCATTATACAAACAAATTGCATATGTGTATCTACAATGCTCCAGGCTTCCTAGAGAGGTTATACAAAACTTTATATTGACAATAAAGATTAACACATGCACAAATCATAAACAGGGCTCAATATTTGTGTCCTTGGTTGCGGAGATTTGTGAAGAGTTCAGGAAAACCATGTGGAGGTTGTGTCAGGTTAAAGAGCATCTGTTGACTCCTCACTCTGTCTCACTGAAGTTGATCCTGTTGTTGACATGCATGTTATTCTAAGTTCTGGTGAGCCCCCCCGCCCCCCCCCC